CCTTCAACCAATTGTTTAAAAGGGATTCAACAAATATGCAAGGGGTATGTAGGTGGCCTGTTGGCCCTATCCAGAAAACATTCCTTTTCCAGTGATTGATCAAATTTCCAAACTCTTCATTTGACCTACTTTGCAGAAGCTACCTGTTGTATTAATTATTTATTTTGTTCATCCTAAATATGCAAGTCCATAGTTTTTAATGAATTTTTGCATTAGCTATTGCCACTGGTCATTATCCAAGCAACAATTAACCACCGATCATTTTTTTTCAGATGCAAAATCTAATGGTTCTAGAATGACAAAATTAATAAAATGCTTCGCTGAGCGCAGCTGGATACGACCGCAGAGGTCCAACCTTGAACAGTTGGGGCAAAAATGGACACAATATTCGCGCTTGATACAGGTCTGAATTTGGATTGTAAATAAATATTTGACACCTAATAGGTTTCTGACACCAAATAACTATAGTCAAAGAACTTAGAATTGGTTATATGATTTGAATTTATATTAAATTTTTTGCTTTTGTGCAATACACTATACTGTTGCGAAATAGAACCCCCCCCCCCCCAAAAAAAAAAAAAATACCCCCCTTTTTTTGCTTTAGTGAAATACACTATGCTGTTGTGTATTGATTTTATTTTGTTAAAATAATACTTGAAGAAAGTTTCTTTTTAATTTCTGAAATCTGAAATGAAAAAAAAAATTGCCACCACAATTTCTTTTTTAACCCCCCCCCCTAATTTTTTTTCACCTCCCCCCCCCCCCCCCCTTTTTCCAAATTTTTTTTTTTCCCTCAAGATATGGTCATAATCTCAATTCAAATTTCCAATGGAGTTTGCAACCATAAATACCAATTAAAATACATCATAAAAATCTTAAAATAGAAAAAAAAATCCCACCCCCAAATTTTGTATTACCCTTATGATTCATCACCCCCAAACTCAATCCCAGCCTTCCCTTTGTGGTATGGTACCTTGCAGTACAATTTCAGAGAGATCCATACACTTGAACACAAGTTATTGTCTGGAAACTAGAAAAATGCTTGTTTTTTGGCCTCTTTTTGGCCCCAAATTCCTAAACATTTCAGGCAATTTCCCCCAAACTCAAACCCAGCTTTCTTTTTGTGATATGGAACCTTGTAGTACAATTTCATAAAGATCCATACACTTACACACAAGATATTGTCCTGAAACTAGAAAAATGCTTGTTTTTTGCCCCTTTTTGGCCCCTAATTCCTAAAATTTTGAGGCAATTACCCCCAAATACCATCCCAGCCTTCCCTTTGTGGTATGGTACCTTGCAGTACAATTTCAGAGAGATCCATACACTTGAACACAAGTTTTTGTCTGGAAACTAGAAAAATGCTTTTTTGTGGCCCCTTATTCCTAAATGTTTGTGGCAATTACCCCCAACCTCAATTCCAGCTTTCCCTGTGTGATATGGAACCTTGTAGTACAATTTTAGAAAGATCCATACACTTACACACAAGTTATTGTTATGAAACTATAAAAATGCTTGTTTTTTCCCCTTTTTTGGCCCCTAATTCCTAAATTTTTGAGGCAATTACCCCCAAAATCAATCCCAGCATTCCCTTTGTGATATGGAACCTTGTGGTACAATGTCAGAGAGATCCATACACTAACACACAAGTAATTGTCTGGAAGTTACAAAAATTCGTAAGTGTTCCGCAGAACCCAGTGTCTCGCCTACTTTTGCTGTTAATCGCAGGCTCAACAAAAATGAGGAAAATAATTAATGAAAATATTCCTCTCTATACTATCTTTTGATTGTAAGTAGCTTCTGTCTAAGTTTGGTAAAAACCCAGGATAGTTTATGAATCTAATAAATGTTTTAAAAACTTTAACTGCATGTTAACTGGAAGAAAAACTAAGTCCATTTATAAGTAAAATACGGAAAAAATGGAACAAAATTTTAACAAAATTTCCTTCTAGATACTAGTTTTTAATGATAAACAAGCTTCTGTCCAAGTTTGGTACAAATCCAGGATACTTTAAGAAAGTTGTTAAAATTTTAAAATAAATGTGGATAGTGTCCACATGTGGACACAGATGATGCCCCTGCTTGCATATCATATAGTTATAAAGGGACATAACTGAAGAACAGTAAAAGTGACGCTACCCAAATTTGAACTTGATCTGAGTTTTGTGTGTAAGTCTCATAACATTTGGTTGAGGCTAACTTAAGTAGAGAACAGAAACTAAAAATTCAGCTACTTTTCTATTTATAAAGGGGCATAACTCAATAATGGTTAAAGTGACACTACCCAAATTCAACTTGATCTGTGTTTTATCAGTGGAAGTCAAAATTAAACATTGCATTGTATAAAGCATTCATTGTAGTTGATTCAACTATAATCATGGACAAAGGAAGATAACTCCAATTTTAAAAATAACTTGATATTTAGAAGAAAATAAAAATTTTGCAATTTTTTCCATTTATAAAGGGGCATAACTCTAGAACTGTTAAAGTGACGCCACCAAAATTCAATCTTGATCTGTGTTTTGTGGTAATAAGCATTGTGTATAAGTTTCATAACATTTGGTTGAGGCAAACTTAAGTTAGAGAACGGAAACTAAAAATTTTGCAATTTTTCCATTTATAAAGGGGCATAACTCTAGAACGGTTAAAGTGACGCCACCAAAATTCATACTTGATCTGTGTTTTGTGGTAATAAGCCTTGTGTATAAGTTTCATAACATTTGGTTGAAGCAAACTTAAGTTAGAGGACGGAAACTAAAAATTTTGCAATTTTTCCATTTATAAAGGGGCATAACTCTAGAACGGTTAAAGTGACGCCACCAAAATTCATACTTGATCTGTGTTTTGTAGGTAATAAGCCTTGTGTATAAGTTTCATAACATTTGGTTGAGGCAAACTTAAGTTAGAGAACGGAACCTAAAAATTTTGCAATTTTTCCATTTATAAAGGGGCATAACTCTAGAACGGTTAAAGTGACGCCACCAAAATTCAAACTTGATCTGTGTTTTGTGAAAATAAGCATTGTGTATAAGTTTCATAACATTTGGTTGAGGCAAACTCAAGTTAGAGAACGGAAACCAATTTTGGGACGTACGGACGGACGGACGTACGTACGTACGTACGTACAGACGGACAAGGGTAAAACTTAATGCCCCCACCGCTACGGCGGGGGCATAAAAACTTTAACCACAGAGTGAATGTAATGTTAACTGGCAAAAAAAGTCCACTTATAAGTAAAATACAGAAAAAATGGAATTTTTTGTTTACAAAATTTACTTCTGGATACTTATGATCATAAACAAGCTTCTTTCCAAGTTTGGTAGAAATCCAATATAGTTTAAGAAAGTTATTAAAATTTCAAAAACTTTAACCACAGAGTGAATGTAATGTTTCCTGGCAGAAAAACTAAGTCCATTTATAAGTAAAATACTGAAAAAAAAAAATTTTTTTTTTACAAAATTTACTTTTGAATATTATCTTATGATCATAAACAAGCTTCTGTCCAAGTTTGGTAGAAATCCAGGATAGTTTAAGAAAGTTATTAAAATTTCAAAAACTTTAACCACAGACTGAATATTTGTGGACACCACCACCGCTGACGCCAACGGAATGTAGGATTGCTATGTATCGCTTTTTCGACAAAAGTCGAAGGCTCGACAAAAATGCTTATTTTTGGCCCCTTTTTGGCCCCTAATTCCTTAACTGTTGGTACCATAACCCCCAAATTCAAATCCCAACCTTCCTTTTGTGGTATTGAACCTTATGGTAAAATTTCATAGAGATCCATTCACTTAAACTAAAGTTATTGTGGGAAAACCAATGTGTCTTCGGACAACTACGATGACGACGACGACGCCAACATCATACCAATATACGAAAACAAAGAGACTGTAAATGAAAACCTACTACTGTCAATTCTAACAATTTATTGTGTAAAACTTATTGGTCTGTCAACTTGAGCAAACTCAGAGTATTAGGATTTTGATCTGCTTCTCTATCCATCTGTCTGTAAATACCTTTTCTCCTTTTATATATCAATTTCTTGTTGGACCCTTTCTAAACTTTACTTAGGTTACTGTATAACATAACATTTTGGATGGAAAGGCATCTTTTCAGTTCTGTTAAACATAGAAGACCAAAAGGCCTTAGTGATGAGGTATTTATCTGCTATTTGTATGTGAAATAAAGCATTTACAATGATCCTAAGAAGTAGAAACTGTGCAAAACTGACCATTTTAAAATACTGAGTTTTGGAGTTTGCTTTTTGAGATATCTAACTATTTTATAGTCTGTGTTAATTTGTTCACTTTTTGAGATATCTAATTTTTCTAGTCTGTGTTAATTTGTTCACTTTTTGAGATATCTAACTATTCTATAGTCTGTGTTAATTTGTTCACTTTTTGAGATATCTAATTTTTCTAGTCTGTGTTAATTTGTTCACTTTTTGAGATATCTAACTATTCTATAATCTGTGTTAATTTGTTCACTTTTTGAGACATCTAATTTTTCTAGTCTGTGTTAATTTGTTCACTTTTTGAGATATCTAATTTTTCTAGTCTGTGTTAATTTGTTCACTTTTTGAGATATCTAATTTTTCTATAGTCTGTGTAAATTTGTTCTTTTTTTACATGGGGATAATTAAGAGCTTGGCTATATAATCACCTGTCTATTGTTATATAATCACCTGTATATTGTTATATAATCACCTGTCTATTGCTATATAATCACCTGTCTATTGCTATATAATCACCTGTCTATTGTTATATAATCACCTGTCTATTGCTATATAATCACCTGTCTATTGTTAAAAGACCATGTGTTGCCCATTTAATGACTTTTTGTTTTTCTTTGTTGTTGGATTGCCGTTTCATTCACATATACACCAAATCTCCTTTTATTCATGCAAATATTAAGAATTGTGCCAACTGGTAGAGTAGTTTTTCAAGAGAACATTGTTTTCCAGCTTACAGATTTCAGACAATACAGAACAAGGAAAGACACCAATTTTACTTTTATTTATTGTTTTTATTGACTTTTTCACAATGACTGCACTTGCACCAAATTAATTTCTAGATTCATGGTACATGAAATATCTGAATAAGCAGTATCATCATGATTAACAAAAACATTGTCTATCAATATTTCAATTTTTGTGGGTGTGTTCAGGACTATTCTTATTTCCACATGTCAATCTCACATTTTATTGCATGTATTTTAGCATCAATCAATGTACAAGTAACACCTGAACAAAAACGTAACAGCATCATTCAACAATATTCAACAATGTTATAAAATTCGCACAACATATTCAGTCCCCATTTTCTACTTTTTCTTTTTTAATTGTAATTTTTTCTTCATCCTTTTTCAGTATATCTTCTTTCTTGATATCTTTCTCGTCCAATGCTGCAGAAACTGTGTCCAGCATGGTAGTTAGATGATCCTTTGATAACATTAGAGCAGATATGTACTTCTTGCTCGCTGACTCTGAGAAGTTGGTTAGCTTTTCCTGATCAGATAGTTTTTGTTTAACTTGTTTCAGTTCCTCTTTCAACTTTTGGCCGGATTCTTCTTTCGTTTCTAAATTTGTCTTGATTGTATCTGAAAATCAAAACTAAGTGATATTCTAAGCAATATAAAAGAATTGAATCTAAATACCCTCTGACAGTGTCACTGTAAGAAACAAGATTAAACATACTGAAATGTCTCACTTGCTATACTGATAATGATTGTATTATACATTGAAAGTCTTCAATGTGAAGGTTTTACAACTGGCATCTCATAAACTTAACATTATCAGTGATCCATGATAATGAGATCCAAGGACAAATGAACTCTGCATGACGGAATGAAAGAAGCAGTAAATAAAAACTGCTTCCCTGAGCACAGCTGGATACGCCCGCAGAGGTCCAACCCTGAACAGTTGGGGCAAAAATGGACACAATATTCAAGCTTGATACAGATCTGAGTTTGGATTGTAATTAAATATTTGATATATTATAGGTTTCTGAATAAAGTGCAATACACTGTGCTGTTGCGCAATACTTAGTAAATCTGTTGTCAGACTATAAACAAATAAAATCTTATAACTCGGAAACATAAAATCGAAAATTTATAAAAATCAAAAGGATCTTACAAAAATAGATATAAACAATTTACCAAAGTTTCATAAAAAGTTATTGTCAGAAAACTGGAAAATCCCCCTTTTTGTAATGAATAAAACCCCATAAATCAGAAACGTATAGTCTGAAATGTATAAAAATCAAAAGGGAGCTCATGTCGATAGAAATAAACTAATCACCAAAGTTTCTTGCAAATTGGTGAAATTGTTTTTGAGTTATTGTCTGAAAACTGGAAAATCCCCCCTTTTTTAATGAATAAAACCCCAAAACTCGGAAACGGTAAATCCGAAATTTATAAAAAAACGAAATGGAGTTCAGGTCAATAGATATGAACAATTCACAAAAGTTTCATGCAAATTGGTGAAATTTTTTGAGTTATTGTCCGAAAACTGGAAAATCCCCCCTTTTTAGCTCACCTGGCCCAAAGGGCCAAGTGAGCTTTTCTCATCACTTGGCGTCCGGCGTCCGTCATCCGTCGTCCGTTAACTTTTACAAAAATCTTCTCCTCTGAAACTACTTGGCCAAATTTAACCAAACTTGGCCACAATCATCATTGGGGTATCTAGTTTAAAAAATGTGTCCCGTGACCCGGCCAACCAACCAAGTTGGCCGCCATGGCTAAAAATAGAACATAGGGGTAAAATGTAGATTTTGGCTTATATCTCTGAAACCAAAGCATTTAGAGCAAATCTGACATGGGGTAAAATTGTTCATCCGGTCAAGATCTATCTGCCCTGAAATTTTTACAAAATATTTTCCACTGTAACTACTGGGCCAAGTTCATTATAGATAGAGATAATTGTAAGCAGCAAGAATGTTCAGTAAAGTAAGATCTACAAACACATCACCATCACCAAAACACAATTTTGTCATGAATCCATCTGTGTCCTTTGTTTAATATGCACATAGACCAAGGTGAGCGACACAGGCTCTTTAGAGCCTCTAGTTGTAATCTTTTACAAAAATCTTCTTCTCTGAAACTACTGAGACAAATTTAACCATACTTGGCCATAATCATTATTAGGGTATCTAGTTTAAAAAATTTGTCCGATGACCCCGCCTTCCAACCATCATGGCCGACTTGGTTAAAAATAGAACATAGGGGTAAAATGCAGTTTTTGGTTTATATCTCTGAAACTAAAGCATTTAGAGCAAATCTGACAGGTGGCAAAAATGTTCATCAGATTTAGATTTATCTGCCCTGAAATTTTCAGACGAATCCGACAACCCGTTGTTGGGTTGCTGCCCCTGAGTTAGTAATTTTACAAAAATTTTGCAGTTTTTTGTTATTATCTTAGATATCATTATAATATCTAATATCTAATACTATTAATTATGATTTTAACCTTATTTTACATGATTTCCAAAGCATCAGTAAATACAGGTGAGCGACACAGGCTCTTGAGAGCCTCTAGTTTAATGAATAAAACCCCAAAACTAGGAAATGGTAAATCTGAAATTTATAAAAACCAAAGGAGCTCGCGTCAATAGATATAAACAATTCACCAACGTTTCATGCATATTGGTTAAAGCGTTTTTGAATTTTAATGTCCGACATGTTGACGACGGACGGACAAACAGACGGACGAACAGACGGTCAAAGGTATACCATAATATGTCCTGTAAACGGGCATATAAAAATAAAACATCAGCTATACTGTTCACTTGTGTTAATGTGCAGTAATTTCTGTTACTAAAGCATTATTTAGGAAAGAATATGTCTGCATAAACCTCTCAATGTCTGTCATAGTAAAACCCAATGACTCAAGACTGCTAACAATTACATGAACAGTACAAATTTTACTACACCCAATGTGAATATTGACAAAAATTATGTTTTTTTTCAGTGATGCTTGAGGCTTGACTATTTGAAAGTCAAATTGGTGACCAATTTTTTCATATTTGTGTATATTCTACCATATAAGTTAATTTATTCCTGCCAGATATTTTAGTGAAACCACTAAATGTATAAGTGTCTGGGTGGGAGATCCTCTAGTTCTATATTCTTTAAATTTTAGACCATTTTTCTCTATTCTTTATCTTTTTTGTCCACTATTTTTATACTTTATATTTCATCCCCCATTATCAGTCAGGGCTATAACTCCATAGGGTTATTAGAGAAAATATCATACATGTGTTCTTACAGATACTTTAATCTGTAGTAACATATGTTTGTTATTTGTTAAATAGATCATAAATATTTTAATTTTTAGTGGGCACTTGGGAATTCTTGAAACTTTGTGCAGTAACTTAATACATAGCTTTGATAACTAATTTTCCAATTACATTAATACATTTTTTTATCAACCATGATAAATCAATGAGACAAGGCTTTTAAGTGATAAAATTAGCTGTAATAACAAGGCTTAGTTATTACAGGCATGTAACTTATTATATGAGACACTTGGGAATTACTTGGATGCTTGCGCAGAACCTCATTACATGCTCTGATCATTATTTCATACAATAAATTTAAATATATTGTGATTATGCATGATATATGTCTGAGCAAAGGCTTTAAAGTGATGTAGAGAAGTTATTACAGGCATATTTTTTCTGTAATAACATAGGTGTACTATGAATGATTGGCAAACTATGAACTGTTATATCTTTCTAAAGTTTAGTATACATTAAGACAATAATAATATCAATAGAACTTGTATATATTTTAACAAAACAAAGGATGTGTATTGCCCCTTTGAAACATGTAACATAACATATGTTATCACAGTTTTTGGATTTTTTAGTCCACAATAACACATGCATGATATTTTCTTTAATAACCCTATAGACTTATATCTCTGACTGATTATTCTCTATTCTTTTTTTTTTTGGCCTATTTTGCTAAATTATTCAAATTTTTTATCTTTTATTCTGCACTTTTGGCCCTTTACTGGGGTGGATCCAGCCATTTTTAAAAAGGGAGGGTTCCAACCATATTTCCCCATTCAAAAGCATTGATCGTCAAAAAAAAAGGGGGGTTCGAACCCCCTGGAACACCCCCCTGGATCCGCCACTGCTTTATTCTCTATTTTGTAAACCTCATCCAGCCCCTCGTGTATATGTTTTATTTTTGTGTACTAGTACAAGGTACATTGTTCCTACCTCTGTCTTTTGATAATTTCTGCATTTCTTTTTCCATGTCCAGCCTTGTTTTCTCACTTTTCCCTAATCTGTCTAACAAACTCTCTATGTCCAAGACTGATCCTTTATAGTTGATCATTCCTGTCAGTACTTCATCCTCCCCCTTTTTTGGAGTTCTGTTACTATAAGAAGACTTGGAATCTTTGTAATCAGGATCATATTCAGCATTGCCTGAAAAGATGGTAAGAAATACATTATCTGGTTATCTTGTAAATGTAGAAAATCTGAGGAACTATAGAATGCATACTAATCCTAGTGTATCTAAAATTTTCCTGAACTATAATTCTGATAAAATGATAACTTGCCATGCACTGTACCTAATCCAGAAAATTGGAAAATTTCATTTTTTTTTTTCTTTTAAATTTGTATATGACTTTAAAATTTACAAAATTAGCGGACAAAAGTATAGGGTCTGCAACAAAAAAAGGGATTCTCTGCCATCAGGAACACATTTTGTTTTCATTTAACCTAAAGCAAAGAGTCTTGCAACATTAAACAGTAAATGAACATTTAATTGTATTGACCTAAGCAAACTTCTCCCAGTATTAATTTTAATCGACCTGAAGCTTCTGTAATGTTAATTTTCCTTCTTTGAATCATTACCCTAAATACTCTATTTGCCAATTACTGATTTCATTCCGTTATTACACACTTTTAACACTGATTGTTTCCCTTTGACAATAGAGACTGGTTCTATACCAAACAAAATTGGCTGCTGCCCATCGAAGCATGATAACTTGAAAGAGATATATAGGTTTTTAAAAAAAATTAATAAACAATAACTACTGATATCAAAATTTTTAGCTTAACAACAGATTAAATGGAATGCAAACCTTTGAAAAACTTCAAGATTACACACATTACACAGATAACTTTGGTATTTCCGCTAGCTCTTCATTGCTAATGAAAATTTATGTCCGTCGTAAGGGAAGCAACTAAAAAAATAGACCTTCAATTTAAGGGTCAATTACGGAATTGGCAAATGGACTATTGAAGTTCTCTAAATCTAGACCTACCTAGTGCCAATGTTTCTGTATCTATAATTTTGATTTCCTTAGACTCCTCCTCCTTGTCAACCACCTGACCTGGTAGAGGTTTATCTGTCATCTTTCTATAGTGTATGGAATCTCGAGATACAGATTTCTGTGCTAACTTCTTCACCTGTTGGATATGGAAACACACAACATTAAGTCATATTTTTGCTATTTCAAATAACTTTTCACTATTAAAATAATGACATGTTCATATATTAAATGATCGACTTCTTCTCTTTAATGATAATAGATCATTACATTAAGCTGAGTTTTTAAAAACTCTCTAGTCTTAAGATAATAAATAAAATGCTACGCTGGGCGCAGCTTGATACGACCGCAGAGGTCGAACCCTGAACAGTTGGGGCAAGTATGGACACAACATTCAAGCTTGATACAGCACTGAATTTGGATTGTGATTAAATATTTGACACAGCATAGGTTTCTGACACAGAATGAATGTGGTCAAAGAACTTAAAATTTTTTAATTTACCTATTCAAACCATATCATTATTATTTGCTTTTATATATAAATCAGAAATAACCAATTTAAAATGGAAAATTTTAAAGAAAAAAAAGGGGGGGGGAAAAATCCCCCCCCCCCCCAAAATTTTTTGAACCCCCTTATGATTCATCACCCCCAAACTCAATCCCAGCCTTCCCTTTGTGGTATGGTACCTTGCAGTACAATTTCATGGAGATCCATACACTTGAACACAAGTTATTGTCTGGAAACTAGAAAAATGCTTGTTTTTTGGCCCCTTTTTGGCCCCATATTCCTAAACATTTAGGGCAATTACCCCCAAGCTCAAACCCAGCTTTCCCTTCGTGATATGGCACCTTGTAGTACAATTTCATAAAGATCCATACACTTACACACAAGTTATTGTCCTGAAACAAGAAAAATGCTTGTTTTTTCCCCCTTTTTGGCCCCTATTTCTAAAATTTTGAGGCAATTACCCCCAAAATCAATCCCAGCCTTTCCTTTGTGGTATGGAACCTTTCAGTATAATTTCAGAGAGATCCATACACTTGAACACAAGTTATTGTCTGGAAACTAGAAAAATGCTTATGTTTTGCCCCCTTTTGGCCCCTTATTCTGATATTTTTGGGCAATTACCCCCAAACTCAATTCCAGCTTTCCCTTTGTGATATGGAACCTAGTAGTACAATTTCAGAAAGATCCATAGACTTACACACAAGTTATTGTCATGAAACTAGAAAAATGCTTGTTTTTTGCCCCTTTTTTGGACCCTAATTCCTAAAATTTTGAGGCAATTACCCCCAAAATCAATCCAAGCATTCCCTTTGTGATATGGAACCTTGCAGTACAATTTCAGAGAGATCCATACACTTGAACACAAGTTATTGTCTGGAAACTAGAAAAATGCTTATTTTTGGCCCCTTTTTGGCCCCTTATTCCTAAACGTTTTGGGCAATTACCCCCAAACTCAATTCTAGCTTTCCTTTTGTGATATGGAACCTTGTAGTACAATTTCAGAAAGATCCATAGACTTACACACAAGTCATTGTCATGCATATCCACTTGCCTATTGTTGTTGACCATATGTTGGTCTTTAAATGTCTTTTCTAATTATTTTGTGTTGTTGAGTTGCTGAATCTTTAAGGTATATGGTCAGATCATATGTTTTGTACGTCATATGAAATCATACTATACATGCTTTTTCACTGGAAATTGTGACGTCACAATGCGTTCTAAATAGCACGAAAACCCATAATACGAGGATACCCTATATCTCCTTTTATTTATATTTTAAAATATCAAGGTGTAGAACAGATTTTAGAACTTTTTCGTCAGCTCTAGAAACTGTAGATTTCATTAATGCATACCTGAGCTCTAGATAACTGTAGACCTATAGTATGAATGATTTCATTAATCCATACCTGAGCTCTAGATCACTGTACATGTAGACCTATAGAATGAATGATTTCATTAATCCATACCTGAGCTCAAGATAACTGTAGACCTATAGTGTGAATGATTTCATTAATACATACCTGAGCTCTAGATAACTGTAGACCTATAGTGTGAATGATTTCATTAATCCATACCTGAGCTCTAGATAACTGTAGACCTTTAGTGTGAATGATTTCATTAATCCATACCTGAGCTCTAGATAACTGTAGACCTATAGTGTGAATGATTTCATTAATCCATACCTGAGCTCTAGATAACTGTTGACCTTTAGTGTGAATGATTTCATTAATCCATACCCGAGCTCAAGATAACTGTAGACCTTAAAGTGTGAATGATTTCATTAATGCATACCTGAGCTCTAGATAACTGTAGACCTATAGTGTGAATGATTTCATTAATCCATACCTGAGCTCAAGATAACTGTAGACCTATAGTATGAATGATTTCATTAATCCATACCTGAGCTCTAGATAACTGTAGACCTATAGTGTGAATGATTTCATTAATCCATACCTGAGCTCTAGATAACTGTAGACCTATAGTATGAATGATTTTATTAATCCATACCTGCGCTCTAGATAACTGTAGACCCATAGTGTGAATGATTTCATTAATCCATACCTGAGCTCTAGATAACTGTAGGCCTATAGTATGAATGATTTCATTAATCCATACCTGAGCTCTAGATAACTGTAGACCTATAGTATGAATGATTTCATTAATCCATACCTGAGCACCTATAGTATGAATGATTTCATTAATCCATACCTGAGCTCTAGATCACTGTAGACCTATAGTGTGAATGATTTTATTAATCCATACCTGTGCTCTAGATAACTGTAGACCCATAGTGTGAATGATTTCATTAAGCCATACCTGAGCTCTAGATAACTGTAGGCCTATAGTATGAATGATTTCATTAATCCATACCTGAGCTCTAGATAACTGTAGACCTATAGTGTGAATGATTTCATTAATGCATACCTAAGCTCTAGATAACTGTAGGCCTATAGTATGAATGATTTCATTAATGCATACCTGAGCTCTAGATAACTGTAGACCTATAGTATGAATGATTTCATTAATGCATACCTGAGCTCTAGATAACTGTAGACCTATAGTATGAATGATTTCATTAATCCATACCTGAGCACCTATAGTATGAATGATTTCTTTAATCCATACCTGAGCTCTAGATAACTGTAGACCTATAGTGTGAATGATTTCATTAATCCATACCTGAGCTCTAGATAACTGTAGGCCTATAGTATGAATGATTTCATTAATCCATACCTGAGCTCTAGATAACTGTAGACCTATAGTGTGAATGATTTCATTAATGCATTCCTGAGCTCTAGATAACTGTAGGCCTATAGTATGAATGATTTCATTAATGCATACCTGAGCTCTAGATAACTGCAGACCTATAGTATGAATGATTTCATTAATGCATACCTGAGCTCTAGATAACTGTAGACCTATAGTATGAATGATTTCATTAATCCATACCTGAGCACCTATAGTATGAATGATTTCTTTAATCCATACCTGAGCTCTAGATAACTGTAGACCTATAGTGTGAATGATTTCATTTATCCATACCTGAGCTCTAGATTACTGTAGACCCATAGTGTGAATGATTTCATTAATCCATACCTGAGCTCTAGATAACTGTAGGCCTATAGTATGAATGATTTCATTAATCCATACCTGAGCTCTAGATAACTGTAGACCTATAGTGTGAATGATTTCATTAATCCATACCTGAGCTCTAGATAACTGTAGACCTATAGTATGAATTATCTCTTCCACATCCTTGTCAATCAAGTAACCAGTGTGGTTCTGATCAAAGTAAGTAAAGGATAATAGCAGGGCAGGAAACCTGGTGAAATATTTCTTTTTGTCTTTCTTCTTCTCTGCAAAAATAGATATTTACATTTGATTATTAACATTGTTAACATAAAAATGTAAGGCACATTCCTTGTAATCATGGATGACACTACAGGCCTTGATATGTTATGTTACTGTAGCTCTACTTTGTAGGATAAAGTTAGACCTTGAAGTATAAATCAGACCCTACTTTTATCATCACAGATTTCATAAATATTGTGGCATATGCTTAATGGTTTATAAACTTGGAATTTTGCTTTTATTATCACAAATAAAGATGTAATTGCTTAATGAGAAAAAATGGACATTATTTTGTTGTACAATATTAGTGAGTACTTTTAAATCAGGTAATATGGTTCTTATTTTAAGGTATTAACTTGAACCCTGGTTTAATCATGGATTTTATGTAATGTGATCTTTTAAGATGATTGATCTTATTTTGTTAAATCTTTCCACACGAAAGACCTTATTTTACGACATAAACTAATGCTTTACTTTAATCATTACATCATCATTTGTGGTTTAAACTTGTACCTGGTGTTTTTCTTGCCTTGCTGAATCAATGACACATTTTTGTGGTATAAAGCAAGTCATTATGATATAAAATATGGAAAAAATAATAAATTTAAATCATTTTTTGTGGTATAACCATGGATCTTTTTCATGCTAGAATTTGGACCTTACATTACGGTACTGGGACCTCACTTTCTGGTATAAGTTTGGAACTATTTAGTTACAAATTTTAAATATTTTTTTGTGTACAAACTTGGACCTTACTTTTATCATCAGATTCCTCTTCGTCTTCCTCTTTCTTCTCCTCACTTTTATCATCCTCCTTTTTGACAACATAAGCCTAAAAATATAAAATTATGATGAAAATATAAATTTGACCTACATAATAGGTTGGTTACTAAAAATGGACAATTTTTTTTAAAATCACAATTGTATGATGTAAGTTTTTAAGTCTGAACCTTTCATCCAAATATATAGTTGACACATCAAAGAACTAAGTTCAAGCATAGTACAATACAGGCATGGGGCGAATTACATTGCAATGTAATGCATTATATTACAATTACTTTGACCAAACCATGCGTTATATTACAATTACAATTACATGCATTTATCAAACTAATGCATTATATTACAATTACTTTTGCAAAGTAATGCCTTGAATTACACATTACATTTGAAAATTTTATTAGTGAATAGAAAAATTAAACATTTTGAAAAACAACTACAAGTCACAAAAGATTCTAGCATATGCAGTAACTGTTCCATGAATTGAATATAAGTATACATGTAAAAAGTCTATTTAATTTGATTTTTACAATTTTTAATTATTTTAACTTAATGTTGACTTTACTTTTATAAATATATTTTTTGTTGTTTTTCTTTAAATTTTAAACGAAATATTTAATTACTGTGAATTACTTCCCTAATTATAAAATAAACATAAACCTTAATTAAAATTAACATATTCTTAATTAATCAAGAAATCTTAAATTTGGTTTAGTTAAAACTCCAACAATATGTTAAAGATGTAGTATGTGAAAAAAGTAATGACATGTAATGCCATGTAATGCATGAAATTACACAACTTTTTGCTAAAGTAATGCATTATATTACAATTACATGTAATGCACAAATTGCTGCATTACACATTACATGCAATTACTTGGAAAAATGTAATGCATTACCATGCATTACAATTACAAATTTGCATTACCCCATGCCTGGTACAATAATATGTCAACAAAAAATGACTGCCTATGGTTGCTCACATACAGGTGTTAAATTTCTTGCTATTGCAGATATTACCAGATGTCCATTATAATTTGTATACTTTTAAAGATGGATTGATGATTGCTTTATGCCGCATCAGCACAAAAAGACTTAACTTAGTTGGGACAGGTAGATGTAATATCCGCTCTACTTCATGCAGACTGTAACTTCTATGAGAGAGAGATGGGACAGGTAGATGTAATATCTGCTCTACAGTATGCATGCTGTAACTTTAATGAGAGGGAGATGGGACAGGTAGATGTAATATCTGCTGTAGTTTATGCATGCTGTAACTTCCATGAGAGGTAGATGGGACAGGTAGATGTAATATCTGCTCTACTTTATGCATGCTGTAACTTCTATGAGAGGTAGATGGGACAGTTAGATGTAATATCCGCTCTACTTCATGCATGCTGTAACTTCTATGAGAGGGAGATAGGACAGGTATATGTAATATCTGCTCTACTTCATACATGCTGTAACTTCTATGAGAGGGAGATGGGACAGGTAGATGTAATATCCGCTCTACTTCATGCATGCTGTTGCTTCTATGAGAGGTAGATGGGACAGGTAGAAGTAATATCTGCTCTACTTCATGCATGCTGTAACTTCTATGAGAGGGAGATGGGACAGGTAGATGTAATATCTGCTCTACTTCATACATGCTGTAACTTCTATGAGAGGGAGATGGGACAGGTAGATGTAATATCTGCTCTACTTTATGCATGCTGTAACTTTTATGAGAGGTAGATGGGACAGGTAGATGTAATATCTGCTCTACAGTATGCATGCTGTAACTTCTATGATAGGTAGATGGGACAAGTAGATGTAATATCTGCTCTACTTTATGCATACTGTAACTTCTTTGAGAGGGAGATGGGACAGGTAGATGTAATATCTGCTCTACTTTATGCATGCTGTAACTTCTATGAGAGTTAGATGGGACAGGTAGATGTAATATCTGCTCTACTTTATGCATACTGTAACTTCTATGAGAGGGAGATGGGGACAGGTAGATGTAATATCTGCTCTACTTTATGCATGCTGTCACTTCTATGAGAGGGAGATGGGACAGGTAGATGTAATATCTGCTCTACTTTATGCATGCTGTAACTTCTATGAGAGGGAGATGGGACAGGTAGATGTAATATCTGCTCTACAGTATGCATGCTGTAACTTCTATGAGAGGGAGATGGGACAGGTAGATGTAATATCTGCTCTACTTTATGCATGCTGTAATTTCTATGGGAGGGAGATGGGACAGGTAGATGTAATATCTGCTCTACTTCATACATGCTGTAACTTCTATGGAGTAAGAGCGGGAAATCAAAATAGGAATAAATGCTGACAAAGCCCCAGCTCCATCTACTTTTATACATCCAGATATAGAATTGCCATATATGGGCTTTTTCTTTTGATATTTAGTTATATTTAGTATTTTTATGAAATTGATGTCTTCATTTATGACCATAATAATATTATGATCTGGTATAATTTTTAGACTTGACTGATGCATTTTAAAATCATTTCTGTAAACACTTTAAATATTGATAACTATTAAATAAAATTGGTAAACAAACTGCACTAAAGAACAATTATCTCCTTCTATTATTGGCTCTGAAAAGTGATTCTATATCTTAAATCAGGCAATAAATCTATTCTAATCTTGTTTCATGCTCAGAAAGGACATAAAGTGGATTACATGAAATACTAAGAAATACTTCATTTGTTATAGGATCATTGCTTTTATTGCTGTCCTTCATCTTGACAGTGGCTGGGAAGTCTTCAATGATGAACCCTAGAGCTCACAACTTACATCTAGATTAAAATACCCCTATCAATTATTTAATCTGTACTTTAAGAACCATAATAGACCAAATCAAATTTAAATACAGAGGAAATTGTGTTTTATATGACTGATTCTTTACAATTGATTATGTATGTATGCAAGTATTATACCTTTCTATCATTCTTTTCACTGTCTTTCTTAGTTTCTTTTGTGTCTTCTTCTTTCTTTCTCTTCTTAGGTGTTGGTTCCTGTCAAAACATAACAAATGAACCAAAAAACTGTAAAGAGTTCATAGTTTTATTCAACAAAATTTATAAAGGTAAAAAAGATCAATGAATACTTGATTAACACAAGTTTTTTGTTGATCTATGAAAATTGGTCCCCTAGAGAAAAAAAAAGGAATTCACGGTACAATCTTGAGAACCTCTTCTGGTATTCAGATAAGACATTGTTTCTACATGAAAGATTTCAAGGCAAACGTAATAATTATGTTAATATAAACCCTAATAGATTAAATATTAAAAAAAAAATTATAAAAGGCTCTAAACTTCTCATTAACTGTAAAGACATTTAGCATCAGACTCAATGATTTCTCATTTACTGTAAAGACTTTTAGCATCAGACTCAATGATTTCTCATTTACTGTAAAGACTTTTAGCATCAGACTCAATGATTTCTCATTTACTGTAAAGACTTTTAGCATCAGACTCAATGAATTCTTACTTACTTCTCATTAACTGTAAAGACTTTTAGCATCAGACTCAATGATTTCTTACTTATTTCTCATTAACTGTAAAGACTTTTAGCATCAGACTCAATGAATTCTTACTTACTTCTCATTAACTGTAAAGACTTTTAGCATCAGACTCAATGATTTCTTACTTACTTCTCATTAACTGTAAAGACTTTTAGTATCAGACTCAATGAATTCTTACTTACTTCTCATTAACTGTAAAGACTTTTAGCATCAGACTCAATGATTTCTCATTAACTGTAAAGACTTTTAGCATCAGACTCAATGATTTCTCATTTACTGTAAAGACTTTTAGCATCAGACTCAATGATTTCTCATTTACTGTAAAGACTTTTAGCATCAGACTCAATGATTTCTTACTTACTTCTCATTTACTGTAAAGACTTTTAGTATCAGACTCAATGAATTCTTACTTACTTCTCATTAACTGTAAAGACTTTTAGCATCAGACTCAATGATTTCTCATTAACTGTAAAGACTTTTACCATCAGACTCAATGAATTCTTACTTACTTCTCATTTACTGTAAAGACTTTTAGCATCAGACTCAATGATTTCTCATTAACTGTAAAGACTTTTAGCATCAGACTCAATGATTTCTCATTTACTGTAAAGACTTTTAGCATCAGACTCAATGATTTCTCATTTACTGTAAAGACTTTTAGCATCAGACTCAATGATTTCTCATTTACTGTAAAGACTTTTAGCATCAGACTCAATGATTTCTTACTTACTTCTCATTTACTGTAAAGACTTTTAGTATCAGACTCAATGAATTCTTACTTACTTCTCATTAACTGTAAAGACTTTTAGCATCAGACTCAATGATTTCTTACTTACTTCTCATTAACTGTAAAGACTTTTAGCATCAGACTCAATGATTTCTCATTTACTGTAAAGACTTTTAGCATCAGACTCAATGATTTCTCATTTACTGTAAAGACTTTTAGCATCAGACTCAATGATTTCTTACTTACTTCTCATTAACTGTAAAGACTTTTAGCATCAGACTCAATGATTTCTCATTTACTGTAAAGACTTTTAGCATCAGACTCAATGATTTCTCATTAACTGTAAAGACTTTTAGCATCAGACTCAATGATTTCTCATTTACTGTAAAGACTTTTAGCATCAGACTCAATGATTTCTCATTAACTGTAAAGACTTTTAGCATCAGACTCAATGATTTCTCATTAACTGTAAAGACTTTTAGCATCAGACTCAATGATTTCTCATTTACTGTAAAGACTTTTAGCATCAGACTCAATGATTTCTCATTTACTGTAAAGACTTTTAGCATCAGACTCAATGATTTCTCATTTACTGTAAAGACTTTTAGCATCAGACTCAATGATTTCTTACTTACTTCTCATTTACTGTAAAGACTTTTAGTATCAGACTCAATGAATTCTTACTTACTTCTCATTAACTGTAAAGACTTTTAGCATCAGACTCAATGATTTCTTACTTACTTCTCATTAACTGTAAAGACTTTTAGCATCAGACTCAATGATTTCTCATTTACTGTAAAGACTTTTAGCATCAGACTCAATGATTTCTCATTTACTGTAAAGACTTTTAGCATCAGACTCAATGATTTCTTACTTACTTCTCATTAACTGTAAAGACTTTTAGCATCAGACTCAATGATTTCTCATTTACTGTAAAGACTTTTAGCATCAGACTCAATGATTTCTCATTTACTGTAAAGACTTTTAGCATCAGACTCAATGAATTCTTACTTACTTCTCATTAACTGTAAAGACTTTTAGCATCAGACTCAATGATTTCTCATTTACTGTAAAGACTTTTAGCATCAGACTCAATGATTTCTTACTTACTTCTCATTAACTGTAAAGACTTTTAGCATCAGACTCAATGAATTCTTACTTACTTCTCATTAACTGTAAAGACTTTTAGCATCAGACTCAATGATTTCTCATTTACTGTAAAGACTTTTAGCATCAGACTCAATGAATTCTTACTTACTTCTCATTAACTGTAAAGACTTTTAGCATCAGACTCAATGATTTCTCATTTACTGTAAAGACTTTTAGCATCAGACTCAATGATTTCTCATTTACTGTAAAGACTTTTAGCATCAGACTCAATGATTTCTTACTTACTTCTCATTTACTGTAAAGACTTTTAGTATCAGACTCAATGAATTCTTACTTACTTCTCATTAACTGTAAAGACTTTTAGCATCAGACTCAATGAATTCTTACTTACTTCTCATTAACTGTAAAGACTTTTAGCATCAGACTCAATGATTTCTCATTTACTGTAAAGACTTTTAGCATCAGACTCAATGAATTCTTACTTACTTCTCATTAACTGTAAAGACTTTTAGCATCAGACTCAATGATTTCTCATTTACTGTAAAGACTTTTAGCATCAGACTCAATGATTTCTCATTTACTGTAAAGACTTTTAGCATCAGACTCAATGATTTCTTACTTACTTCTCATTTACTGTAAAGACTTTTAGTATCAGACTCAATGAATTCTTACTTACTTCTCATTAACTGTAAAGACTTTTAGCATCAGACTCAATGAATTCTTACTTACTTCTCATTAACTGTAAAGACTTTTAGTATCAGACTCAATGATTTCTTACTTACTTCTCATTAACTGTAAAGACTTTTAGCATCAGACTCAATGATTTCTCATTTACTGTAAAGACTTTTAGCATCAGACTCAATGATTTCTCATTTACTGTAAAGACTTTTAGCATCAGACTCAATGATTTCTTACTTACTTCTCATTAACTGTAAAGACTTTTAGCATCAGACTCAATGATTTCTCATTTACTGTAAAGACTTTTAGCATCAGACTCAATGATTTCTCATTTACTGTAAAGACTTTTAGCATCAGACTCAATGATTTCTTACTTACTTCTCATTTACTGTAAAGACTTTTAGTATCAGACTCAATGAATTCTTACTTACTTCTCATTAACTGTAAAGACTTTTAGCATCAGACTCAATGATTTCTTACTTACTTCTCATTAACTGTAAAGACTTTTAGCATCAGACTCAATGATTTCTCATTTACTGTAAAGACTTTTAGCATCAGACTCAATGATTTCTCATTTACTGTAAAGACTTTTAGCATCAGACTCAATGATTTCTTACTTACTTCTCATTAACTGTAAAGACTTTTAGCATCAGACTCAATGATTTCTCATTTACTGTAAAGACTTTTAGCATCAGACTCAATGATTTCTCATTTACTGTAAAGACTTTTAGCATCAGACTCAATGAATTCTTACTTACTTCTCATTAACTGTAAAGACTTTTAGCATCAGACTCAATGATTTCTCATTTACTGTAAAGACTTTTAGCATCAGACTCAATGATTTCTTACTTACTTCTCATTAACTGTAAAGACTTTTAGCATCAGACTCAATGAATTCTTACTTACTTCTCATTAACTGTAAAGACTTCTAGCATCAGACTCAATGATTTCTCATTAACTGTAAAGACTTTTAGCATCAGACTCAATGAATTCTTACTTACTTCTCATTAACTGTAAAGACTTTTAGCATCAGACTCAATGATTTCTCATTTACTGTAAAGACTTTTAGCATCAGACTCAATGATTTCTCATTTACTGTAAAGACTTTTAGTATCAGACTCAATGAATTCTTACTTACTTCTCATTAACTGTAAAGACTTTTAGCATCAGACTCAATGATTTCTCATTTACTGTAAAGACTTTTAGCATCAGACTCAATGAATTCTTACTTACTTCTCATTAACTGTAAAGACTTTTAGTATCAGACTCAATGAATTCTTACTTACTTCTCATTAACTGTAAAGACTTTTAGCATCAGACTCAATGATTTCTTACTTACTTCTCATTAACTGTAAAGACTTTTAGCATCAGACTCAATGAATTCTTACTTACTTCTCATTTACTGTAAAGACTTTTAGCATCAGACTCAATGATTTCTCATTTACTGTAAAGACTTTTAGCATCAGACTCAATGATTTCTCATTTACTGTAAAGACTTTTAGTATCAGACTCAATGAATTCTTACTTACTTCTCATTAACTGTAAAGACTTTTAGCATCAGACTCAATGATTTCTCATTTACTGTAAAGACTTTTAGCATCAGACTCAATGAATTCTTACTTACTTCTCATTAACTGTAAAGACTTTTAGTATCAGACTCAATGAATTCTTACTTACTTCTCATTAACTGTAAAGACTTTTAGCATCAGACTCAATGAATTCTTACTTACTTCTCATTAACTGTAAAGACTTTTAGCATCAGACTCAATGAATTCTTACTTACTTCTCATTTACTGTAAAGACTTTTAGCATCAGACTCAATGATTTCTCATTTACTGTAAAGACTTTTAGCATCAGACTCAATGAATTCTTACTTACTTCTCATTAACTGTAAAGACTTTTAGTATCAGACTCAATGAATTCTTACTTACTTCTCATTAACTGTAAAGACTTTTAGCATCAGACTCAATGATTTC